CTTCCGCCTTCGTGAATCGGAGTTATTATTCCAAGCTTCTACATCGCAGGACTCTGGTTCTGGTTTAAGCAACGCTGAAAGAACTTTGCCAAAGGTTATGCCAGTTGTCTTGCTACTGCTTCCAGCGCCTCTGCGCGAATGGTATCGACTCCCGGAGCCATATTTGGGTAGAGACGTCAGCTTCTCCCATGAATGTGTTCGATGTCTCGTAGTTGGTGCAGGAACAGCGAGTGAACCTTTCAGCACCATTCACGCACCAGTTTCCGATGACTAGAGCACGTTTTGCGCATGCTAACAAACTGGCTCCCCGGGGGGGGGGGCAATGGCGTAGCAACTACTTTTGTCGTCCCAGGTCGACTTAAAGTCTTCGCGCCCTCCCCTTTCAGTTGTTAAGCCGTGAACATTCACAATTGCGAGCAGACCCTTAACATTTCATTTCTTATCACAACAGTCAAATATCTAACCTTAGAATGCAGCCATAAATGCAAGAATTTGTGTTGAGACAATACTCGTGAACACAATTTACAGAAACACTTTTCCTGCAATACTTGAGTCAAAAGTATTGAGAACGCTATCGAAATTCATTCCCTTGGCAAGTTCCCTCTCTATGGGGTGAACTGCCGATCACTGAGCATCGTCCGGTTCATTGGTGCTTGAAGGTAGTTCGTTATAAACGTGCGTTTAGAGGGTGCACCCTCACAGCTTGCAATTCTAATAGTTCGGGTAAGAAAGATGCACAGTAGCTTCTTGAAGGTAATATTTAGGTATGAAGCTCAAAAGTACAAAGTCCCATTGATTTCGTTATTTTCTGAAGCTTTCACGAAATATTGCGCGCATTCCTCTCGGCAAAGAATGCATCTTTTGCTATATCTTCCTTAACTTCGCTAAGCGGACAACTATAGTTATCATCAATCAGGTTTGACGGTGTAAAAAAGTAAATATGTTTGCAAAGTCATGGACTTACTGATAGCTATGACATTTCATCAGTTAAGCTGTGTACGACAGAGGGCGTTTCCTGTTTTACCTCAGCGTTAAATTCCGACGATATATCAAAGAATTACTCATCGCCCATTCGTTTCTTTTGACGGATTCGACGCATTATAGTTTTCCCTAATTCAGAGATTTTTGGATCGACCCATTGCAATCTCCACCATTTTCTCTTTATTCTGAAGGAAACAAACTCTTAACGTTGAAAGTTTGACATAATGTTGTTGCAGAGCTAGCCTATTTGTTTAGAGACATTAGTACGTCCTTGATTTCTTAGAGAACAGATCCCCAAAGGCGCAGAAACAAAATAAACGGAAGCCACAATACCGAGATAAGTATTAACGATGCGTATGAGCTTGTGGTTGAATTTTCTCCTGATTCTGCGAGATATTTCAGAGAAGTGACTAGTTCGGAGTATTTCTTCACCATAACATTTACAGCGCCTGCTCGACTAATCCATCTAGCTTTTACAGCCACTTGATACTTAGACCCATGACTTGAATCAAAACATTCCAGCAATATTTCTATGAAGAAACTGTGCGAATAACCAGTTTATCGGGGTAAAATGCAATAGAATTAACCGTCGCAGAAGCCATATGTTCACCAGTCATACTCAAAGAACGGCTTGTGTATGACGCAAATGTAGATTTGGGTTGATTTCGCAAACGTGTCACTGCACACCCTATCGGCTGCCCGCCATAACAGCAACACTGCTTAATGCCTCAGCCTGGCAGTCATCACTCTGAATTCCGTCCTTCACAATTTCTCTCAAAAGCACTCCAGCAATTACCTCTGCTTTTATGCTACTGGTCTAAATGAAGCCGAGAAACAGCTCCCCTACCGTCAAGTCATTTACATTAAGTTCTACTTGGTACATGTCCTGACTCATCAGATTTTTGTGAGATACATCACGAATGCTATCAAACACATAGCATACATAATTACTTTGCTTGACATATATATGATTTTCTTTGTCGCCTGCTTTGCCAAGGTGCTCACAAATTCATTTTGAACGTGTGGCGACGAATAAAAAATGCTGATTTTTCTTCCCAGCTAAACTGTCATCCAATGTTCGCGAAGAAAGTCATACTTGGACAACAAATGTTCAAATGCCGAAAAATTCCCACTATTTTGCTGGTCTCATTTCTTATCCTGGATGTCATTTTGGGGAGCACACAGTGTCATGTTTGCTTGGGGAAAAACCTCATATTATCAAGTATTCTAGCTTGAAATTTGCGCCACCCCTTTGCTTCTTTTTCTACAAATGATAGTACCATTTTGACAATTTCCTCTCCTTCAACTAGCCAGATCGTTAGATGCTTGCTGTTGAGGAATGACTGAGCATGCGATTTACTAGATTCGAGTTCACGCGTTTTGATTTAATTCACACCGGGTTCTGAAACCCGCATCGGTCGAGAAACTAGACTATCCATTTGAAAATAACCTGCAGCGGGAACAAAACAGGGCCTCTTTCGAAAGAGACTACACCTCCCGTGTTCTCATCCTTCGCTCACAGTTTTGTGAATTTTGAAAACATCGCATCCTTGGTGGCTTGCTAGCCTCAAGAATTGTACTGATTCCAGGTAGCACCACTTATTGAATTCATGATGGACGACAGCAAATCGGAGCAGGATAGGCATAGTGCGAAATTTTACCCTATCTTAACAAGCCACTGACAGGCATACATAAAAACGGTTGATTTGCGTGTTATCGTACCATAGTGTGGTTGCAGTTACAATTCTTCAAATTTGCGCACCTGCATCAGCATTACAAAAATTTTCCTCCACTCCCATTATGTCAACGTAGTCTTCTGTTGTCCGGATATCAATGTTTGTAATGCATTTTTATCTTCGGTCGCAGTTTGATTGTCACCCTTCATTTTACCACTTCAGCCATGTAGCTAATTTTGCTGATTTTGCACTTTGTATGAGAAATCATCTGCACAAAATTCGTCCTGGGCGGACCGCTGCCTACGTCCCCCATGCCGCGCCTCTGCCGTCGTGCGTTGTTTGGGCAACCGGGATGTGGATGGTAGAAGAGGAGAGGTCAAGCGATGATTTGGTCAATAGCGAGGTAAGCGCACACTTCGAAATTGGCGTTAGTTGTTTTTCGGGACGGTTGGCTGGAGCCCAAGGGACAATGAACATGTTTAGTTGAATACACTTATTGACATAGCGAACAGCCGACTTCAGTGATGTTTGTGCTGTGAGTTTCTTTGGCTTTCCCCCTCTATTCTAGCTTCACTCTCCAAAAACGATCTCAAACACAATGTGCAATATGACAATAACATTACATTATTGCTGTTAGTCCTTTTAGCCTGTATTGTTTGATATCTTCTTTTTGTATTAACGCACGTTAGCTGAAGTGTTCCTCATCCTTAGCTAACGGGCATAGGTGCTGAGGATATGATGTTGATGAGGAAGATGATGATACTGCTGCTGCTGCTGCTGCTGCTGCCGCTGCTGCTGCTGCTGCTGCTGCTGCTGCTGCTGCTGCTGCTGCTGCCGCTGCTGCTGCTGCTGCTGCTGCTGCTGCTGCTGCTGCTGCTGCTGCTGCTGCTGCTGCTGCTGCTGCTGCTGCTGCTGCTGCTGCTGCTGCTGCTGCTGCTGCTGCTGCTGCTGCTGCTGCTGCTGCTGCTGCTGCTGCTGCTGCTGCTGCTGCTGCTGCTGCTGCTGCTGAGGATGATGATGATGATAATGCAGAAGATGACGATGATGATGATGATGATGGTGATGATGATGATGATGATGATGATGATGATGATGATGATGATGATGATGATGATGATGATGATGATGATGATGATGATGATGATGATGATGATGATGATGATGATGATGCAGAAGATGATGATGATGAGGATGCAGAAGATGATGCAGAAGATGATGATGATGATTATGATGATGATGACACTGATACTGATACTGATTTGAAGCAGCGCGGAGAGCATGCTCTATGTAGCTGCATCAGTTGTCGCTCTTGGGCATCAACCTATTAATTGTCGTTCCGCTCTTTATATTTTGCCTCTGCGAAATGTTTGTCTAGAAGCTTCTTAAATTCGGCCACTGAATTCGCCTCTATTACCAGCTGCGTCAGGTTGTTCCAGGTACTCACCACTCTACGTTCGAAAAAGAGTTGGTGAGCTACCCGCTTCAACTGCGGTACTATAATTTTGTACCGGTGTCCTCGCGTGCCGCTTGGTGTGCGCAGATGAAGCAGTTGTCTCAACATGGGGTAACCACTCAGGTGTAATATCCGGTGCGTCATGATGAGGTCAACCCTCAGCCGTCGATATGCTAGGGTGTACAGTCCTAGTTTCTTACATCGGTCTTCATATGGCATACCTCTTAAGTTAGGAATCAGCCTAGTGGCTACATGCTGCACCCGCTCAAGCTTTTCTACCTCGCCCGGGGTGGTGAGACAATACGCGGGAGAGCCGTACTCTGGCATTGGTCGTATAATCGAGAGGAAGAGGCGAGTGGCGAGGCGAGTGATGATGATGACGATGACGATGATGATGATGATGAGGATGCTGATGATGATGATGATGATGATGATGATGATGATGATGATGATGACGACGATGATGATGGATGATGATGATGACGACGACGATGATGATGATGGAGGTCAACTGATTGATCGCACAGCCTAAGTGAGCTGCAAAAAAGATAGGGCACTAACCGAAATTTTGGGCTCCGAGTTGGATGAAAATATTAAAGAGCTTCGCTAATTGGTTTCGTTATCATTCCACCATCTTAACTTGTAAGTTCTTCAAATGAGTATACTTTCTTTTCATGGGCGATGCATTTCACACGCTTGTTGCTAGTTGTTTGGCTTATCCAGCCTCATTTGGCCAACCGTTGAACATGAAACGCCTTCATTATTTATCTATATATCGCTACATCAAATGAAGGAAAAGTTTGACAACTTCTTAACACTGGATGTTCATTGAACAAATCGATGAACCAAACCTTGGGAACATAAACAAACATGGCTGCGTGCAAACTTACCGTGAGCATCTTTAATGCGTGCAGCAGGTGCTAGTAAGGTTATACGCAGAAAAGGCATTTTGTGGTACACACTTTCAGATATTAAACATTATGCGTGCTCACCAACGAGACAAAGTTCATCGATTACAAAACGTACCAATAAAGTATCTTGGCTTTTCTAAGCATTGAAACTAATCAGTCACTGTGGATTCTCAATAACAACACAAACAGAATCCACAAGCACATAAGTTGGAACAAAAGCAGTACAATTAGGATAACAGAAGAGAAAATTCTACGACTTGACAAGTGAAGAGGCTGACTGACTGATTCAGCAATAATTTAGAAGTGGGTCAAGGATATAGAAACTAAGCAGTCGGGAAGATTTACAATTAACATGCTATTCCGGTAAAACCGATCTTGGTTTCCCTCGAACTTACAACCCCAGCAAAAGCAGAGACGAAGTATTGCCACCTCAAACATGTGCAATGGAACGATCACTGATGCAGAGTGCAACTAGCCTGAACTACTGTTTTTATCTACAACGCAGCCAACAAAACTCCGTCCCTACAAAAGTCAGGTCCACTGCTAAAATTAGTAGTGAGGAAACGAGTTAGCCAGTCTTTAGCGGTCCGACGACTCTCCGCACATTCGATACATGCTGATGAGATGCTTCCAAAACATTTAGGCTTATCACTATCCTGGGAATCTAAGGACTTTGCTTGTGTTTGCTTGCATGCGATTGTTTGAATAGCCCCGCGTACATTCGCGCCATCATCGACATAGGATCATGCTTGCTTTTTTCTGCGATACTGGTGATTCGAATGGATTCCTAAAGCTAGCCTGGTATATCCGTGGCGTCATAACCGTAGCTTAGACACACTTGACATAGGCTATCTAAATAAACGATTTTGCCGCATACTATTGGTGGTTTTTATTTACAAGCACATTAGTTGTGGTTGTTTGCCTTCGCTTTCCGCTCTAGATGTAACCCGCGTCTTCGTCCTTAGAAATCGAAGGCTGGATGGAGGCACCACAACGGGGTCTTCGAATTTTCTTAACTTTCGCTGTTTACCAATATCAAAGCAAATCATTTGCTTGCAGAAGTATCGATCATGCTGCACTGTTTACTTTACATTTAAACTAGGTTTAGTTACATTGTGTCGTCCCACATGTGACTCATGTTTTGCAGTGTTCAGAAAGCAGATTCGTACTACTGATGTGTACTTCTATAAGGCGGAATCTCTATACATCGCAGTTTCTCATGTCTTTGAGGTTCAACTGTTCACATCTGTTTTCATTAATTTGTGTTGTTGCTATACTGTGGGTGTGTTTTCTACCATGTAGTTCAGTACTGTAAGCATGGTTGAACCCACACATGTCTACAGGGGAATGTTAACCGGTATGCATAATTTTTCCACGTGAACACAGTGAGCAACTCTTGCTTTCATGGCCTCAGGGAAAGGATGTCTGGATCGATTTGCTGTCTATTAGCGAGCGAACATTAGTGCATAGGAATTGACAGGGATAATATCGCTCGTCCAATAAGACTTGTGAAACCAACGTCAATATGTAAATTATCAGTCTCGTTGGTCCCTTTCACTAACCATAACACCTCTACCACCGCTGCGGCTTCAATCTTTGTTTGAAGGGCCTAGTCCACAGTGCTGTGGTGGGTGCAGATTTGCTGTGTAATGTGCGGTTTTGGATAGTTCACACAAACGAGATTCCGAGGCGGTTTGTTCTAGACAACACTGTCTTTAGGGCAACAAATGTGTGCCAAGAGAACGTCGCAATATTTATGATGACTTTTGCGGACGTCTTTAAGTCCGACCGCTACGTTGCATACTGGAACTTGACAAGTTTTGGAGCCCTAAATACGTGATTCGCACTTCCACTTAGCGGTATTCTGACGCTGGACAGAATCAACGACTCAAATCATCAAAGTTCTATATCGAATTTTACAGTGGTAGCACTTCCGAACTGAAGGCTCTAGGACCACGGTTAGACAGGTTTTGAAATGTTTTTGGTCATAGCCGAATAACATACAAATTGGGCACATGTCATACCCCCAGACTACAAGTTATCCCTTTATTTTAGCGTCTTTTTTGAATTATCATGACACTAGCAATTAAGTAACGGTTGGAAAGAAAGGAGTGCCTCATGGTACCCGCCTAGTTTTTGAGTCTAGAATTTCGATAACGCCTAACTTGACTTGATATGAAGCCGTTCAAAATCATAATACACCTCATATTAAAAAACGCCCTTGTTATTAAAATGGTAGTGCTTCCGCATTTCGTATTAACTTCCATGACTCATTGAGGTTGTTGTAAACAGCCGATTAGTGGATAATCTACCTCATAATATCTCAAGCTTTATACAAGCTAGATAACGGAATACAGGGGATTACCGCGTACCAAATGAGGTTGTATAGGATGAATCGCTATGGGCGCTGGAGCAAATGCGTTTTGGGATGGTACCCAAAATACTACAAACAAGCGCAAAACTAGTTCATGCAATGTTTTGAGGGTTTTCAGTGGATTGCCTCCTAAATAGTTATTGTGGCTGACTTTCAAATGGAATCTAAAGGGAGGCCCGTGATGCGCAACACCAGATGAACAAAAATGTCGTCAAAATATTGTTAATGATCTGAATGCAACCACCTTAATGCGACACTAAGGAGGATGTACTCTACTTAGGTTGTCGCTTGCGCTGCGTTCCACGACGTTTAGTATGTCTGCATCGCAGTTCCCCCAGAACTATCAGTTATGCTACGTGCGTTCACTCGGATGGCAACGTAGGTGTTGAAAATGATAGAAATACCATTGATAACGTTGCTCGAAATTAGTTTCTCTCTGGTTGAATTCGCTCGTCATTGCTTGCGTTGCAGGTTGTAGCGATTCCGATTGCTCGAAATCACATTGGATAAATTCTACAAATGCATTCAACAAAACTGAGAGTTCAGAGGTCTTGTTTGTTTGTATTGAACAAGCGCATGCTGTAAACAAACAACGAGTCGCCCAACTTGTAAGTTTTTGGATGTCACTTTTTCTGCGTGCCGTATATGAAGACCACAAACAAGTGTGTAAATAATGATTAACAAGAGAGAAAAATACCAGGCGTTTTACTGGACATTGCTATATGACACATTCAAGTTGAATCAAGCCGAGTATGTTTGTTGTGCATTTCACCAAGGGTGCCGAGGATTTGCTCTCATAACCTGACTGGCACTTCATAAGTTTAAAACTTGTACACGTAAAAATTATGTCTGAAGTAATAGAATTTCCCTGAAAATTAAACTGGAATGGCACAGACTCTTCTTAATCATGGCTTCCTCAGACCTCTAATAATATGCGACTATCAAGTTTAAGATGAAGCCTTACTTTTCCCCATGTCGTGCGGTTCCATGCGATCAAACAATGAGAAGGTAAACTGTGATACCTGCACTAAAGAATGAATTAGTTTGCGGTGTATCGTGGGTTGAGCGCAGTTTCGTCATCCGTAGCATGGATGACGTTCCGACGTTTTCAACTGTCAGATAATTACCGCGACATTTAGAGGTGGCTGTTGTCTACTCAAGACGACAAGTTTGTGTGCATGGGGAGCAACATTTTCCACAGAGTGCCTCATCGGACGGTGACTGGCGTAATTTGTTAGAAAAACTCGAAATATCGTCACAAGCTAGAAACTGTAGATTACTACAACGGCACAGCGCTTTTCAAGGTTTGTCTTCCGGAAATTTGTGGCCAATATATTATATCCATCGACAGCTTATCATGTGAAAATGCGACTTTGGCTACGAAGATCGCAAACGCAGTACACGCGTGGATTTTCTCAGTAGTATGAATGTTGCCATAGCTTTACTCTCCGGTTTTACATGCAACGAAACCTCACTAGCGACGAAAACCTGTTTCAAAATGACAGCATCAATGCTGATGTCGAGCACGTAGCCGAAGGTGTGATACCAAAGATTCGGTTGCTTTTTAGACGATCAGCCTTACTTGCAATATACCTTAAAGCTGGAAAGCTAAATAGCAGGTTTCTGAGTATGGTTCAAACATCCAAGCGGTCGTCAAAGGCTTAAGGCACCGGAGGGATGGGTTGCGGGCGCATAGCCACTATACCTCATCCACCAATACTCTGGTCACTCTACTCTGTTAAAGCGTGACAAAGGGTCATTCCTTCGGGTGTGAGGTAGAGCGCACTCAGTTGCCAACTATCCAATAATACATGTTGGTCTATCACAAAATGTCACTCCAGCACATGAGTGTAGGACGACCGTATGCACGCATGTAAGTGCACAGGTGGCGGGAGAGCCCATGGTGTGCTGAGGTTGGTGGTGGCTAGATCCTGACAGATGGTCTACCGACTGCTGCTACTGCTGCGCCATAGTCTCATGCCCTGGGCGCCTCCACGTGGCGACCGCTGGGTGGGAGTTGGGTTTCGCCCTTCTCCTTGCTAAGATCCAGGACACCAATCCGCATGAGTCGGCTAACTGACCATGTGCTAGACCCGCTGCCTTTCGGGTGTTCATTTAATCGAAGGCTTTGGCTGAGGACCCGAGTCGTTCTCCTGTCAGGTGTGGCCGCCCTGGCAATATGCTAGTCCATCCTCTTCGGAGGTTAGGAAGTAGTCGATGGCCCACTTCCCGTAAAACCTAGCCATGGGAGACAACAGGTCTAGAGGTCATAAGCTCACAGCTCGGAGGATGTAGAGCACGAGTGCCACGCATTGTCTCTGACGGTGGGAGTTCACCTCCGGGTGTTCAATGGTTTGCCACTGCCCGCCTCAAGCCAGACAACCCCTGGTCAAATTGGTGCAAAGCCGCCAAAAACCCACCTGCGTCTGGCCGTGGTCGCAGGTGCGTACCCAATTACGGTCGCAAAACATATGATAATTGTTCCAGAACCTCAAAGGCTGCGTGTGACGGCCGTCAAGCAGATCCCAATCTGTCTCTGCAATCACATTCCCGAGCTGGATCTGCTCTCCACTGCCTTGTGGGTCAGGCTATTGACCCAAAGGCTCCGGGTGGAGTCCCTCAAGCAAACCTCCGA